TTGGGCAATATTTTATAACACTCCTGTTATTCATAGGTGTGAGGTAGGGATGTGAGCACTCTGAAACCAGGAATAAGTTATGCATCCAGTGGTTTGAATTTAGGCCAAAGACTTGTGATTCCTTTTGAGATACATTGCTTGTGAGATACCATACTAATAGAGAGGTTGTGTTGTATCTGAAATATTTTGCTGTTAAGTGAATTATCCCAAATGTAAAGATTGCTACCATTGCATATGATGGGACAGAATGTTGCTGTCATCTTATTTGTGAGGTAGGCCCTGAACTATAGTAGGTCACATCAGTATATCAGCTGCTCTTACGTGCTGATTTTTGAGCATATTTTTCTTTCCTTCAGCAGCCATATCTTGGTAATCATCTCTTCTTAAGGCAAGACTTTCTTCTGCAGAAAGGGTTGTCCCATCCCCCATGTCCCAGACAGATTCCCCTTAAAAAGTGTCGTGCTCTTCTGAAACTCTAATATTAGTTTATTGTAATCTGCATGTATGAAATTGTCTGTAAGTGGGGGAAAGAAATCACTGTATTTAAAAGGAGTTTATGGACAATGGTGACCAGGCTTAAAAACCTTGCCAATATCTGTATGTTAATAATTCACAAATATGGTTGGCGCTTTTTTTTTTTTGAAGACCAATTCATCCTCAGTGTTCTTTCTACTTGTATTTTTTTCCAACAGCATTATATTAAATTGATCCAAATTAATCCAATAACTTGAAATTCCCATATTTGAGTCAGCATACAGTGTGTTAATTTGTTGCAACTACAGAACAAAGTATTTACTATAACTACAGTCTTTAGGGGGCTGAAAGTCTGTAAGCAATAGCTTTTGCCAGTGTAGAGAGGAGTAGTGAGGACTGAACTACCAGCTGGACTTGTTGGTAACTGACTTTTGCAGTCGTGGTTGCACATGGCAAAGAAAACTGTATGGTCATGTCATGTGGGCTGGGTTCACTGCTGTAAGTATTCAGTGCATGTTTGTCCTCAAGTGAGTATCAGTTCCTAGCAGGAGACTATTTAATACTGTCACTGGTTGAGGACAAACAGCCTTTCCATGATTGTTCTAGCCATCTACTGTACATAATTATTTCAGCGTTTTATGGGGTATTTCAGCTAAGGTCTGTCCTCACATTAAAAAGCTAAGTATTTCTTGTAAAAATATGGTTCTGTTAGCCTGAGACATTCAGGAACACATTCATCTTTTTCTAAAGTCATATCATGTCAGTATCATTCTGAATCAACAAATATCCTGCCTCTGAACTCTGAGATTGTCACATAAATCCTTGTTTATTCTTATGGATGGCACAACCTTGTATGTTTGCAGTATTACATTTCACCCCAATATTACTTTATTCCCCTAAGCCCTCCTACTACCTTGTTTAGATGGATTATTTTCTTTATTGAAATTACCTCATTGACATTTCATGTTTCATAAGAAAAATTAATGAACAGGTTTCTACAAATCATGTTTCCCTAAGCAGCACAATGAGAAACGTTTTCCATTTAATTGATTTCCTATTGATCATTTTATTTCTGTTTTATCTACCTTTTATCTAACCATCAGTTTAGCTCCCTAGGTGATGTCACTATAACTAATCAGTCAGAACAAAAGCAAAAAAAAGCTTATACTGTGTGATCAGAAGCTTGATCCCATTCTACTAGAGCTGCAGTGATGTGCAAGTGTATAATGCATTTCTGTCAAACTCTAAACACTAGTTTTCTTCTGCATTGGCTTATTAAATGTTTCCTGTCCCCTCATTTCAGCCTGTCTGATTGCCCTTATATACTTTTGAAGCAGTTATTAGGCCAGTTAGGACTGGATCTCTTCTCTGCAAATACATTCCATTATTTGGGATTCAGTTTGCTTATGAAATTTGTCTAAGCAGAGATAGAAAACACTCTCAAACAAGGAACCTCATAACATTTTGCCATAATAAATTTCCTCAGTTCATTGCAGTTGACTTTCATGGGCTAGTTCTCCTTGTTCTTCAGTATTTGTCACTTGAAATGCAAAATCTTTGCAAAAAATCTGCTTTTACTTATGGTTTCATAATGAATTTATGATTATGTTAGTAATGATTAATTTAAAGCTATAGGCAAGGGTATAGAAAAACTTTCAGGATGGCAGTTGTGTATACTGAATTTGATCCACATGTGAATATTTGTTTGCAATCTTTTTCTCTTTTTCTTCTTTCTCTGATAGCTCACTCCGCTTTGTGACATTGATTGTTCACTTCATTTTCTCAAAAAAATACCTGCCTTAAAATGCTGGACAAGGCTTTTCAATAAGTTTGTGCAGCAGACATAAACTGTGTATGTGTACCAGATGGTACTTCATTTTGATACTGCTTGTAGTTGTCATGTTTTTAATAATGTTTCAGTAGGAAAAATTTATGTGGTTAGATGTAAAGTCAGAAAGCAGACCAGAATTCACTACGTTTCTTCATAGTGATTTTTTTTCCAAAAACTATTGAAAATCTATTTCCGTATCTTGTACTCTCATACTGTCAGAAATTTAAGTGTGATAACATATTAATTTCATTAAAAACCATCTTCTCAGAAACCATAATTTTTAGCATCTTATTAGAAGACCTGTCAGCAGAGGTCTCTGGAGATTCTTCTGATTACTTCATGTAGCATTAACATAACACTAGTAATTTCATACCTGAACTGTTCATAACTGAAGAGTTGTCTGCATTGACTTCAGCAAACTTTCCCTTTATTTTTGACATAGCCAGATTTTTGATGATTTTTCATGTGCTCTCCACTGTCTGTTCCTGAGAGGCAGTGGTGGTTATTAGTTATCCATCCCAGGGCTCTGAAGAGCTTTTCTTTCTTGACCACTTACAAAGTGAAAATTCTTTTGAGGATAATCACTATGTAAAGGATTAAGAAAGGAAGATATTGCCTCAAGACTGGATCTTCTGGTTAGTATGTCAGCAGAGTATTTGAGTTTTAAGTATATTTAACATTATAAGCTACTTGGGATGAGACACTTGTCTTCCTGCTTGTGTAGCACTATCCTAGTCACCTTGACCCTTTTAAGAAAGTATATTAACTTTTCACGTAACAAACTTGTTTCACATTTCTGAAAAGCAGTTTCACTAGACAAATGAAAGCAGAAGACTGAAAACAAAGATATATTTGACTGTGGGATTCTGAGGCATCGTTATTTTGCCATCTGCTATAACTTCATAGTCAAACTTGGGTGTTGCACTTTGGTAGCTCTCCTGAGCAGATAATCTGGAGACAGATAAGATAAAGAAATATGACAACTAAAAAAGATGTTCTAGTTGTTTCTGGTTTTTTAGATATTTTTTAAAATTGTTATTTCCAGCTCTTTCACATTTTTAAGATGCCTATTCGTTTCTGCTATGCCTTTGCATCTGTACCTTCTTGTTTGTTAGCCTGTCTTCATGAGCCTGATGTTTATGGACAGCCACCTAAATATTTCATCTCCATGACAAAGTATGCTTCAGAAAATGAATGGTTCTGATTATTTTGCTTGTGCGATTCCAGGATTATTCACCAGTCAGTTTGAGTATCTGCACAAGATATCATAACTTAAATTATATCAAAATTTATAACTGAACTTAATTCTTTTGGGAGATTTTCCAGTGTACTTTTCCATACATTCTTCATAAAGTTCAAGCCTAGCTTTAAAAATTATGACTGCCTTATAAAGTCTTGCATAATGAAAAGTTTAGTTAATTATTATTGCTGTATGCTGCAAGGCAATAATTCTGTACAAACATTCTAATATAAATCTCATAAATGCAAAAGAAATTCTCATTATTTTAACTTGCTTCAAGGAAATTCTTTGTATTACACATACATCACTCTTTACCAGAGAAAATACCAAAGTTTCCTCTGCATTGTAATGTTTTAAAATCAGCATTAGTGGCTACATATTAAAAAAATCTAGCATTTTTGATAGATCAGCCTGACTTAATCCTTCAGAAATGTGTGAAAGTTCATGAAGATCTTTGTATGTGTGTTTCTGTCTGAATAAAGCAAGAACCTGAGATAAGGGTTACCGTTGCTGTGCAAAGGTTGGATCTGACTGAGAGTAAATGCTTAAATCTTGTGGCATCGATACTCTGCTTACACACACAATCTCTAGAGGTTATGAAAGAATCTGGCATTTTTCTGTATTCTGAATGGCAAAAAAAACCCCCAAACTTGCACCCTTTCTGCTTCAGACACCAAATTTGCATAAAAATGGAGAGGTGAGAGCCATGAACCTGATGACATTCATTCTACTTAAACTGAGAACTGTTGTTTGGGATAATGTGGCTCTTATGTGGTATTGCACTTGTATGCCCAAATTCCACTGCAGAAGTAGGCAGTGAATTTGCCAGTTTTCCTCCAAAGCTTTGATCTCATTCTGAGATGGTAAAAAACATGCCTTCTTTAACAAATGAGCATTAATCTGATAGAAAAAATAAGGAAACGCTTAGCTTAGTCACATCAGGTTAAGTCTTTATTTTGCAGCCTTAAATGCAACATTACAAAAAACAGAAGAGAAGACATTAAAGTAAAGCTAAGATTCCTTCTGTGGTCTACCTTCAGTATATTATTGTGTTAAAAATGTGAAGATTATCTTTACATTTCAGACTCACAGAAGTAAGAAACGGAATAAGTAATGTACTGATCTCCACTTTGGAAAAACCTTAAATGTCCATATCCCTAAAGGGGTCTCCGTTGGCTGCGCATCTATTAATAAAATCATGTTAGTTTATGGTACCAGGTGGTACTCCCCAGGTTCCTGACAGAAACTGAAGAAATTCTGTGCTGTCTGCTCATGCAGGTTGGGTCATTACTGGAGAATTCTGTTAAATATTTTAAAAGCAGAAGAGTCCGAAGCTAAGGCTTACCAGTACTAAAAAAGTTATGAAGTAAAAGAGAACAGAAGATTTAGTCTGCTAAAGATGCGTTTGATATAAACAGTTTTCATGTTGTGATGACCTGTATGTGTCCTTCGCAGGGGAGGAGCTGTGCACCGGCCTCATCTCGGGCTGTTCCTTGGACTGTTCCTTCGGCTTCCAGACTGACATCCACAACTGTGAGATCTGTCAGTGCCGACCACGGCCTAAGAAGTGCAAACCCATTGTATGTGACAAGTACTGTCCCTTTGGATACTTGTACGTATTCTGATTCCGAAAGTGTATTTAATACAATCCCTGTCCATAATGAAAATATGCAAAAATCCAGGCATATGTACTTGTGTTTACTTTGTGGCAAAGCAGGGGGAAATGCGGGAAAATAGATATGTTGTTACTTGATGTGAGATTACAGTATTCTTCAAAATGGATTTTGATCAACATATTAAGAAACAGCAACTCAAAGAACAGCAGCAGATTATAAAAGCAAAGAAGTGCTTCAATTTTTTGAAGAATTTGACAAACAAGATGAGAAAGCTACTTACAAATAATGTCTCTTGCACATAGCTTTTTAAAATTCTGTTTGCATGCTTTGATAACCTTTCATTTTATAGCCCATTTATTTTATTCAAATGATTATCTGATATTTCAGGTTTCTTTTAATGTTGATATGACAGCAGAACTAATTTTAGTGAGACTTTTCTGATAATTACTTTACAGAATTTGTGAAGAACAGTGCTATCTCTTATCTAAGTTTTTGTAAATGTGTTCAAAACCTGTATTTGTGGTGGAGTTCTTTCTCCATAAAAGTAGATATTTGTGGTATTTATTAGACTGTGGAGTAGGTGATGAAAACTGAGCAGATCTTTTGTCGCAGAAATTTCTTAGTGGTTAGTCTGGTACCTTCTATATATATTTTACCAATATATTTTATTTTTCAGGGGTCCATTCCATGTTATTGCCTGCTTTTCATAACAGTTTAATTTCTACCTCATGATAGCAGATCTTCAGCTGATGTTCATATGCAATTTATTTCTTTAGGATTTTTAATAAAGTTGACTATATTTGCAGCTCCTAGTGTGATACTAATACTCCTTTAATTTCTGATTCATTTCAGAGTTCTGTTTAACCCTTGTTCATAATTCATAATTATACAATTCATAATTGCAGCAGGTTTTTATAATGGCAGTCTTTTGTGTAGTGTGTCCTTCTTAGTACACTGAGTAGTAGACGAGAGAGGAAAAGTAAGAATTTTAAAGAGTTAATAAAATTGTTTTCGGTCATGTTGACTTCAAGAGTAGCTGAGAGTTATTTTTAGTTTCTCAAGTGACAGAAAGGAGAGCAGGAGGGAAGTTCAAGAAAAGCAGTGTCAGTTTTGTGTTCCCAGAACTTTTGCCCAGTGGCTTCAAAGGCAAGGATGGCTGAAGATGGGTAGCAGAACAAGAGAAACCTGGAAGACTGAGCAGAAATAATGTCTGGTTAGCTGTCTCAGTTTTTTAGAGAGGATAACATTGCTTCCATTAAGTATCAAAGGAGTGAAGTCAATTAAAACAAGTACAAAGCATGCAAAATGGTTTAAAAATATCCAGGGAGAGTGAAGTTTGAGCCATGCCAGTGAACAGGCACAAAATACAGGTCTCTTAAAGCTGGAAGACAAAGAGACAAATGGTGTTGAGGTGTCTGAAACTGAGGGAACTTCACAATGGAATCAGAAGGAAGGGTGGCTGGAATAAAACAACAGCAATAAAGAAATACAACTTACAACTGTATTCAAGAATTTACTCAAAATCGCCATATAATCCTCTTATGCTGTAACTATTTCATAAGGGGCAGTGAAATCCTTTGCACTAGCTTAAATTTGATTTTGAACTTTGGCAAAGAAAAGAGAAAAAAATCTGAATAATAACCATCATAATATGTTTAATTGCTGTTTGCAACAAAGATGGAATCCATTTTTTTTCCACAACATCATCAGTAGCTAGTACAGGATGTGAGTTCAGTAGTCTCCAGACTGTTTATGTGAACATATATTTTTATTTCTGCTTTGTATTTGTGTTTTAAAAATTAATGTCTGTTAAAATTGTTTTATAAACTGATATATCAGCAGATTAATCAGATGTGATATTTAAAGAGTGCACTAAGGCTGGTAGATTTTGGAGTTTATACTGCTTCCATATCATAGCTCTTAATTTATTGCCTCTACCAAGGTCAATAACTTAAAGCTATCAGGACAGAGTCTGAGAAGACTGCTTTCATCCACGTGCTCAAGGATGTGAATGTTTTTGCATAATAGCACAGACAGCTGGTATGAACTCCAGAATTTTTTATAGTTTACTTAGTGTGATTGAGTATTGTTCTGTTTGAACAGGAAAAACTTTTTTTAGTTTTAATATTACAAGTGCATAAATAAGTTGTTATTTTCAAGGCCACTTGCTTTAGACTATTCAAAAGTTATAATATGAGAAAAACATTGAGTAAGGTCTTTTTAATGTCTTTTGTCATTGTGTTTTTTGACTTATACTGACATACCTTGAATATGTTCTTAAAACAAATTCTATGTGTTTTCTTTCCATTCTTTGACTCCACTCTATTTTTTGCCTTTTCTGTGGTGTCTAAAGCAATCCAGTTTGTTTCTCCTTTTGATTTCTTTCAATTTACTACTGCTGGTTTTCTTTCCTGGGAATCCTAGTGTAGATGTCACACTAAATTGTTAAAAAAATTTTTCTTCAGCTGATAAGGACTATTCTGAACTATATTTAGCAAAGTGATTTACTATTAATCAGATTAAGGTTAAAAAGCATAAATATTGAATCTTGCAGTTTACTGCTATTCGTTTGATGTCCTAGACATGATAGAATGACACCTTGATCAGACATGGACTCACAGAGTATCAGATCTGACACTGACTCACTAAGTATCACATCTGGACCATTTAATAACTTGCCCAGGCATTCCCAGTCTCAGACATGCTGTCTGCCTCATTCAGGGGAGTTGTGGGAGTTTGGTGAAAACATCACACAGGTCAGGACTTCTCCACAGGCTAGAACTAAACACACAGTTTATCTATAAATAGAAAGCATTTTAAAAAAAAAAAGTTTTCAGCCTCTTACACTGTATCTTGTAAAGAGCAGTAATTTTAGTCTATAGTATCGTGCATTTAGTATACTGATGTACAGAGGAAAATTACAGATTTCTGTGTGTGTTTTCTGTATTTAAGTAAGCTGAAACACACTTTTTTTTTAACTAAAGTGTGCACAAAACATTTTTATTAGAAAATCTATGAGAACTATATAATAAAAGCATTTTAGAAATGACAGCACATTTTAATGGGCATAGTATGGTAGTTGTGAGTAAGATAAAGATATTTTAAAAACACAATGATGCCAAGCTGATGCCAGTGTTCTCAGGAACCCTGTCTTTGGGATGAACTTCCCCATATATTTTTGTACACCTGAAAAAAATTTCAACTTTAAACCCTTTTAAGCTAATTGAAAAATAGTCTTCAATTTAAATTCTGGGTTTACATGTAGAATGTAAGTTATGCACAATGCTTGGCTAGTATTTGTGAAATGATGAATGTTTAATGAAGTCTTCAGATAACTTAATTTTTTAAAAATTGGAAGTGAGCACCCTAATCTTGTCATTCTTTACAAAATACATGAATAATTGAACCGAATGAAATTAAACAATTAACGATAACTACGTATGGAACTGTTTGTAGGATACAGGGCTAAAATTGTGGCAAGAACTACTTTAGGATCATTTCACTTCAAGTCTTACTTTGGTGCTAAAATTATTTAGATTTGCAGTTGTATAGTACATGTGTTCAGTATACTGCTACTGTGCCAAATTCTTTTTTAAAATGATGTACTGTATTTTAATGTTAACATCATAACAAGCCTGTTATGATCATTAAAAACATGGGATGTAATGGAAGACGCATTTCTATTTTAATGTAAAGCTTCAGTCATAAATAGGAGTCGACAGAAAAGTTAAAAGAAAAGTATATTAGAGAGTTAAAAGTTAAGGAGTAATCATCATGTTTGTGACTTTTTTTTTTTAAGGTTGTCAAAGGTTAGCAACTGGAAGTACTGAGGTTGTGCATCTTGAAAAAAACCAAAACCTTTTCATAATTGTCTGAAAAAACACTGCTGAAGAGCTCACTGGTTTAAAATTTTACGTATTAATGGAAAGAAGCATTCCTTTAGATGGAATAGGAAGACAGAATGTCTTTCATTCTCCATCCTGCTGTGTGACGATTTGTTGTTCTCAGCCTTCTAACTAAAAATTAAATAAAGTTTTCTGGAGTTTGAAGTCAGGCTTTCTAGAGATCTTCATAATTTATTTCTCCTCTATCCTTCTAGATCATGTTCTGTAACTTCCCATGTCTTTTCTTTGTTTAGTACATCTGTGCCTAGAGTTTGAATGGTATTTTCAGTCTTCCTGTAAAAAAGGCAAGGAAATATTCAATATGGGATCCTCTAAAGCAGCATGTTTATGGTGCTGTGAAAAGGTGCTGTTAGGTGGTGCTCTAGACTCCTGCCTAGCTTCACCAGGAAGCTTTGGAAGCATTTGAGTTCTTGATTCTCTGTACTCTGTTTCCTGAAAATTTCTCTAGTTTTACTATTTCAAAACGTGTTACTGTGTGTTTGTTACTATTTATATGGGTTACTGGCATTCTATGTGCTAGTTCTCACGTGAGCTTTTTGTCTGCTTATTTAACAATTCTGGAAATCTCTCTATAGTTTTAATATGCAAGATAGGAAATCTACTGTAAGTTACTTGTTGTTGGAGGAAAAAATTTAACAGTGATTTGTGTTATAAAAACGTAATAAATATAACAGAATCCTACCTACTCCTTCGATATCTTCACAGTTGTAGAAGGGGTTTTTTGCATTTTTTCACTTGAAAAAAGAATGGATCATCAAAAGCAGTCATAAGCCCATACATCTGTATTATCTGCTGTGGCTTGAAAGTGCAAATGCAGAGATTTTGCCAGTCATGTGGAAAGAGCACATGCCAGGGTTGGAGACCTGTACCTCCCATAGAACCACTGAATCTAAGGGTGACAATTAACAATAATTTTCTTTAATTATCAGTCACTTTTTTAGGGGATGCTTTTGCTTTAAAGATCATGACATGTAGATGCTTAAAGTGTCTTGCTGACCTTTTACAAATTATTTTGGTCATCTAGGAAGAACAAGCATGGCTGTGAAATCTGTCGATGTAAGAAATGCCCGGACCTGCCTTGTGGTAAAATCTGTCCCATGGGCTTCCAGCAGAACAGTCACGGCTGTGTTATCTGCAAGTGTAGAGGTACGTGCAAGTGCATTACCACCTCTAATTACAACTTGTTTTCAAAGCAGTTGGAAAACAGAGCAAAAGAAAAGGAATACTGCACAGAATATGTACAAATTGAAATATGGTATCTGGTGGGGGAGTTGGTTCTACATTGCTCAAAGGATTGTATTGTTTTGATGGTGTTTGTTATTATCTGTGTGCATCTTGGCTTCAGCAGAAAGCCTCAGCTCTGCTTTCATCTCCCATTAAAAAGTCACAAAAAATTTGTTATCATTAATAAAAATTGGATCAGGCTCTTAATAAGCAACTGCTAGAAATAAGCTGGTCGAAGGCTTTTTTTTTCAGCAGTGATGTTCTTCTTGGCTTCTTCACCATTATCTTTTTTTACAAACAAGTTTTGGATTTGATAGATATCCTGTATATCGTCTAAAATGGGAGTGCTGTTTCTTGGACACTTTTCAAGCAATTGTAATGAACAATGAGTAGAGAGAGCACTTGCCCAGCAGAAAGGACTTGGTATTCTTAAGTTAAAAATTTCACACATTCCACATACCGAGCCTGTAACCATCAAGTTCAAGGTGGATATTGAGATCAGATGTTCATTAGTTGTCTGCTTTATATTTGTGCTGCTTTTAGCATGTCTGTTTTTAAGATATTTTCAGATTCTGTTTTACATTAGTCTGGGTATCAGACTTCCTTCATAGCTCATCTCTATGTTTTACATGTAATAACTTTTTGTTTGTGCTCAGTCTCTTTCTGATCCTCACTGCTCTTTCATGCTTACTTTCTTTGATTCTTACTTGTGTGCTTTGATTTATAGCTATAGTCAAGTAAGTTTGATTACTTTTCCATTGTTTTGTGTAATGACTCTGTTCTTACCATTTTTAGCAGCTATTTCTTTTGCATTTTAAAAAATTATAAAATGTAATAGGATAAGCTATGGGAACATGGCACTGGAAGAAAGTGTATGAGTTCCTGAAGTCACTTACTTGCCTGTAGCTGAAGGCAAACATGCAAGCATATAAATCAGAAATATCCGACATTATCTTTTCTCTACATGACATAATACACTGCAAACAGTTATAACAAAACTTTAAGACTTCTAGCAAAATAAAAGTTGAAATGTTATAAATGTAGTTTGTAGATATGAGAAGCAGAGAGACATTTCACTGACATAAGCTACAATATATGACTTTTACTAGAAATTAAAATTTTAAAAATTAAATAAGAAAGGGTAACTGCTGAAGGGCATTCCATTGAGATAATTCTTATCACTCAGCTTGTCATTTGTCTCCATGCTCACAATCAGAACACTTTTCTTTATTGTCATGATGCTGTGACGGAACATACGCAGAGTGTTCTCTTAGGTGTGCCATAACTGCATCCCAGACTATAAACAGATGCAATTCTTTGGTCACTAATTATGTGCATGCACACTGTGAAGTGCTTTCCTTAACAAGGGTGAATTTTAAAATAAGCACAAATAATTGGTGAAATTAACTTGATACCTCTCTAAGTATTTATTGTTGTCATGATCATAAAGATACCAAGCCATGAGAATATCATTTCAACATCATGTCATTAGCAACTTGTCAAAGAATAATTAATCACCAGTATGTTCCAGAGAAGATGTGAGTCCTTGTTAAAATTTTGACCCAAAATGCCTAAGTAAGAGGAAGGTATGGGTAAATCCTCTGCCTGTGAGTTAGTTCCAGTGCCTAAATTGCTTCTGCCAGAAATAGCTTACAGCAGGATTAATACAAGTAGGACCATAGAAGTACAGGGCTGGGGTAGTCCTTTGGAAAACTGAGAGTCCATTTCTTTGACCTTGAATAAAATAGAGTCTATCTGGATAATCCTTGACAGATGTTTGTCTAGGATTTAATTTATTAAGAATCTCCACTTTCAAAAGAAAAAAAAAACCCAATCAAATTTCTCTAAAATAACGTTTTCTTGTGGTTAGCAATATATGACATTTTTAAATAAATTTTCTAAAATTTCTGTCTCCCTTCCTACACATTGAACTGGTTACTTTTTGTCCTAAGCTTAGAAGACATACACAACAGCTAAGCACCATTCCCTTTAGAATTTTTGCAACGTTTAAGGAGTTGCAACTGGTGACTCCTAAACATTTTTTTGACAGGGTGCATTTCTAAGTCAAATAAACCCTGTTACTATGGTTTCTCATCACTGTTCAAAAACTTGATATTGTACTTTAGCAGTGGTTAAAATCTTCAAACTAGTAGAGTAGTAGTGTTGCATTTAAATTTACAGTGCTCCTGTACTGGTATCTTAGATTGAACTTGCTTGTTCTGCAACCTTAACACATTACTGACTCCTTTTTCCTTGTAAACTACTGTATCTCAGATCATTTCAACCATACCTTTAGTTAGCCAGTTATTCCCATTTTGTATTTAGATACTGGGTTTCTTCAAGTATTAGCTTTTGTACTAATTGTAATTAAAAACTGAAAAGTGAAAACAGTCTCGGTGTGTGAACTTAATTTTGAATAGTTGCCTATGTGCTTGCTGTATTTCTCCAAATTTTGGAGCATACTCTAGAATACATCAGGAAAAAAGTTTGATTACATTGGATACTTCATTTATTTAGAAAGGGTAAGGGTTTTATCATCTAGGACTTCCCAGTGTCAATAATAATTTCAATATAGACCAGTATTCCAGTGAAATTAAGTCAAATCAGAATTTATATAATCTGATACTAAAGTATAAAAGTATAGTAACCAAATTTAAATTTTTTATAATATTTTTGTTCATGCAATAGGATGAAGACTGTTCTGAGAAGTACTTTATCCTTGTGCAGCATTTATTTTTAATTTATAAAATGGTATGCTAATGTAATTTCTGTGTATTGGCTTTCTATTCTGAAAACCAGCCTCAAACTTTGTACCATCTGCTTGTTAGACCACTTTTGATAGATCTGCTGCAGCTGAAGAAGTGCTGACCTACATGTTAGTGTGTAAAAAAAAAACCAAAAAAAACCACCCCAACCAACCAATCAAAAAACCAACAAGCAAAAAAAACCAGAACAGAAAAATGGTTACTAAAATTACATATAAACATTGCTGCTTTTCATACATCATCTCTGTTTTAAAAGAAAATAAAATGAGGAACTTAATACAAATAACCTTATATATATGTGTGTCAGCAGAGCATCACTGACATACCAATGAAAACAAGTCAGTTCACTGACAAACTGATCCTAAATCCTTCATCATAATAATGATGTGGGTAGGGGAGTGTTGGGCTTTAAATTCACTCAGCTGATTAACAAAGAGTATATTGAGGCTGAATCCTGCAGCACTTAAATACCCCTTAAGATTCCAATGAGACTTTATCCTCCCTGGACCAACTGCTTGTGTGTTCCAATGGAGTGCAACAGTCCAAGCTACTGTATTCTCATCTCAGTAAAAGCTAAAAAAAATGAGGGATAAAATTCTCAAAGCAGTTCTCTTCCAAATATCTTATTTATCATAGTAATATAAACAAATAATTTCTCACAAGAAGTACTTTATGTAATATTTCCAATATCTACCTGTTAGCATTTGCTTGTAATTTTTTATCATTCGTAAGACCATCCGTAGCTCTTGTAAATGCTTTTATATTCTACTTGCTATCAGACACATTATAGAAAATCTAATATCCTGTGATATTTAAATATTTCATTTTAAATATGTTTCATGCTTTCTCCTATTTCCCTCCATTGCATTTCTGGTTTTTTTTCATGTTATTTAGACAGTACTGCATTTCTGGTGATTAGTATAGGTTCAACAGAAAGAAGTAATTATATTTTCCAAGGAAATGAATTCTACTACATCCTATCATCCCCTTCAGTATACCTTTTAATTGTTTCCTGTGTGTTGTTACTTTATTTCTAAGTGTAAATGGCAGAACTTGGTCTTATATGTGCTTTAAAAATAAATGCAATCCAGGCATGAAGTTGGTGTGTTTCTTCCTAAGCAACAGATGCTTATCAGGACACCTCATTTTTCTTTGATTTTGTGCAGAGGCAACGGCTTCTCTCATGCCTCCTGTTAAAACAGGATCCTGCCTGTCGATGGATGGACGCCGACATGAGAATGAGGAGAGCTGGCACGATGGCTGCAGGGAATGTTACTGTCACAATGGACGGGAAATGTGTGCCTTGATCACCTGTCCCGTTCCTAATTGTGGCAACCCCACCATACATCCAGGGCAGTGTTGTCCATCGTGTCCAGGTAATGTGATTTCTTTTACATCCTTTGTAATCAAGTTTCATTTCACATGTGTTCTGTTTCTTAATACATGAAAATAATCTCATGTATCATTCAGTAATAGGTATAGATGAAAGTTTCTGTGCACAAATGTAACATGATTACTTGCTGTCGTTACGATCTCAGTTGTGAAAAATAGGAATTTAAAAATTTAAAGTGTATACATGTTGTGGGTCCTAACTTCTTAATCTGTGACACACTGAAATCTTTAAACTAGTAAAAGTTTCTACTCTGTTATCTTTGATAGCAAATATTGTAATAAGCCATTACATTTTCTTTTTTTGATTTTAAAGTGGAATCTTATTAAAATTTATCTCCTGATCTATGTTTCACAACCCCTCAAAGGTGTACAGAAACAGGTGTCTTAAGTAATTGAATATTATGATTTTGTGTTCTGAGGGAAAGCTCCTGTAGATTATTTCAATGCTTTCAGTGGGAAGGCCAAGTACAATTCATGTTGCATTCCAATACAATTTTAGTAAGTGTTAATATGAAAAACATCTATGAAAAGGTATGGGTAGGGTGTAAGATTAATGCTCTCTTTTCAGAACTGTTTCTACAGTATTTTATGTGCTAGGTAGATTAATTTGTAATACAGTGATATTGTCTATGGTTTTATTGGAAGTCATGTTACAAGTAGGAACAATTGAGGCTCATGAAACTTTTATGAATAGAAAAACAGTAAGACAGCCCTGGGAGAGTATGAGCAATTATGAATTGTTTCAAATTCTTTGTAAAGAACAGGAAACCCTAAGGGCAAAATAAATAGCCAGATCCACTTTCTGAAAGTGACAGAGAAGAGCACATTCTCCCTGTGACTTAAGATAACCAATCTCCTTAGATTGTTTAGACACATGGTGATCTCCAACGCAGTTCACACCTTGTGGTAACTGGAAAACTACAGTCCCCAGAGAGATGCACAACTTCAGAGGTTTGTCTCTCTTTCAACCTTTTCACAAGTATTTTAGGGGATGGTATAGTTCATAGGGATGGGGACAGGTTACCATGTCAGTTCTTTCATTAGATAAACTCAAGATTCAGAATTTTGATGGGTTGATGTTGATCTCTTATAAAAGAGCCGTTGCTTGCCCAGCAACGTCCATTCCTTTTAGAGAGAGTATCTGCATAGGCTTCTCTGTCTGACATTGCTCCTGCTTTCAAGACACTGGTCACCTAGCTTCTATTTTAGCAAATTCATACTTGGTGTAAACTCTTACAGTGCTAGGGCAGACACAGCATTTTAAAGTGATTGCATATATAAGTATATGAATAAGGCCAAATTAGTCTCAATGTGGTTTTGTTTCCCCCACTGAGGTCTTATATTTGTTAGAAATTTAATTCCAATTTTGTTTTGCAATTTATTGATTCCCCACTGATGATTTTAAATAAATATCATGGATTTTAATAGATAGGAATGTGGTTTGAAATTGTGAGACTGTGAGCATGTCACTCAAATGTATGTGTCATAAGGGTATTGAAATAATTAGCAGTCCTCATGTACTGAGTTTTGAATTGCACTTTTAACCTATCAACAGGGTACGGGCAGCTCTCACAGGTCATTTTTCAGACTGAAAAAAGTGGTTACATTCAGTTCAATATTTAATTAGTTGTCAACAGAGCAAGAGATACCTTAACTGCTACAATGTTCCTTATAACCACGTTTCTATAAATTAAGAGGTTTAAATGGTTCCTCACAATGCTCGTGAAAAGCTCCCGGTTTCCTGTAAGATTCACAAAGCCATTAATTGCTAGTGTTTTGCAGAACCATGCTATGCAGAAAGTGTACATTTGTTTGACTAGTTGCTCCTTCGGGTTAGTAGTAGTAAATTTGCAATAGTAGTTTCAAATTTGTAGCAATTCAGTTGCAGTGATATTTCATTATCAGGGCTGCTAAGGAGGCAGTAGGCAATACCATACATACAGCAGTAATATCTGGTTATGCTTTTTTGATAAAGAACAATATATGAGCTGTAGCAAAACAGGCCTGTGACTTTGCAGAGAACTAAATGCAAAGCAGATGACTCAGAAAATTTCCAGAAAAAAATTAGCATTGCTTTTGCCATGGTGAGTTAGGATGCCATTGCATAAAATGTAATATATTGTTCCAGCTGAAATAAAAATCAAACAGTGACAAGGCAGCAGACTAGCAGTCTCATTTCAGGTAAATGCTGCTGAATCAGGTATGTGGTTCATAAATGTAAGCAATTGGAAAAGCATAGCATAAGCAAATCAGTGAAAGATAAAATAATTCCCTGAAAGAAAAGCATGAGTACTTTGTGAATAAAATAAAATCAGCCAGAGTCAACTTCCTTCAGTTCTACTGAACATTCTCCAGAAATGAAAACAACTAAGTTGGGTGTCTTCCACGTGGCAGTGTCATAGAGCAAAGGGCACAAAAGCCATTTTCCAGGCAAGTACAGCAGTGGTGAAGAGAAGCCACTTTGTAGGCTTTGGCTTGCCTAAATAACTAGAGGAGCTGCTGTCCTCTTAATTTTTCTCTCCTTAACCAAGATATTTGGATTAGGATGATGTTCACATTAGGCATCATTATAATTAAGTAGGAGGGAAAGACGGACCTTCTGAAAGTGATTTAGAGATGTAGCATACTTAGGGAAGTCACTTTCTCTTCCCCTCCATTCATAGCACAGGAAACGTGATGCAGTTCAGTTCTTAACAGAGGCACCTAACTTAGCTATCTAATGTTAAATGGGTTGAATTCAGGCTGAAGGACATCACTTATAAGCCTGAAGCTTCACTTTGCAGCTTGTAGCTTTCAAACTCATGGCTTCTGCACCTGAATAAAACATGCTGTGTGAGGCATCTCGATATCTATACACAGTGCGTGGAAAAACCTGGTGGACTTATTCCAGGTCCAAATCAACCAGTGTAGTAAGCAGGCAACTATTACTGCCCTTACTGCACCTTATGTGGAGTAGTCTTCAAAGCGTTTTAAGCAGGTTACAAACACGCTGTTTGTGGCATAACCTTTTCTTGATGGTAAGTGCTTAAACACCCTCAAGGTGCAGGGTGGGATTCTTTTATTCTTTCAATACGCCAAGAGGTAAAGAGAGTTCCCCCATTTTTAATGCCCTCTGAAGGACCCTCATGCTGAACAAGGGACACAGTTTCAGTTCCTTTCTTAACATGAAGGAAGACAAATCTGTTCTCTAAACTGCTGGAGTGAATCTTTTAGCCAGGGCTGCAGAGGTAATGTAATTAATTGTTTGAAAAGGCAGTAAGGTTCATTTGGTAAGATACAGTTACTGGAAATATGAATCTACACACTGTGGCCGCTCCTTGGGTCCAGTTTTCAAAGACGGCAGATTTCTTTTTTTTCTTTTTTTTTCCTTCTTCTTTTTTGTGCAGCATTGATGAAGCACTTCCACCAGTGTTAAGTGCTTATATGTTTTTAGAGGACTGGGTGGGGGATTCTGTGTTTTTTCTTTTATGGTGGTTTGGGGGCAGTTTATTTGTTTGTGTGGGATTCTTGGGGGCTTAGTTTGTTTGGCTGGGGTTTTTTAATGTAGCATCTGTTGAGAAACTTAACTTGAACCTGGACTTCCTTAATCCCAGAGGAGAAACATACTTACTCATCCTTTCAGGAACTGCACTGATACTAACATTTAGCCGTTAAGAAACTATCTAATGAGTAGAATTTTTACAGTTACCTCTTGGAATTCCTACATCATCAGTTCGTTTGATTTTTTCTGAAATGCCAAATATGCTTGAAGTTACATCTGATTTATATTAACTGGTCTTTTTTCAGAATGATTCTCAAGCTCCTTCTTGTTTATCTTTTTCCCATTTTCCATGAGATGCAGGTGACATAAAGTCAAAAGAGGTTCATCAAGAATAATCTATAGCTGGTTTTGTTATGTATTATTTTCAGTAATAACGTTATTGAAATATATTTTCAACAATAACAGAAATTCTTAATCTTGGGTACAGTTGTTAATTATTAGAGTCACAATTGATTTTGCCTGTCTTCCAATTCTGTTTTTCCCAGATGAAATAATTGTGCAAAAGCCAGAGCTCACCAGTCCATCGATCTGTCATGCTCCTGGTGGGGAATACTTTGTAGAAGGAGAGACATGGAACATTGATTCTTGCACACAATGTACATGCCACAGTGGACGTGTCCTGTGTGAGACTGAAGTCTGTCCACCTCTTCTTTGTCAAAACCCCACCCGCACACAGGACTCCTGCTGTCCACAGTGCCCAGGTATGTGCTGACAACCAGCTTTCATCAGAGCCCTTCCCTGATCTGAGAATATGATGTTTCAGTATGAGAATGTTTCTGTATGTGCACAGTTGGGTGTTGAGGTGCCTTGGTTTTTAAGCAGTGAGGAGTGAGAGCCTTCAGGTCTCTAATTCAAATGCCGCCTGACTGTGTGCAAGAGAGATCTTAAGCGTAAAGAGGAGCTGTGGCCCTGAACTTTGAACATCTTTTAAGGCAATCTAATAATGTAAGGGTTGTGTGAGAACCAGAATCCTTAGTTGAAAGGTTTATGAAATAGGCACTGGAAACATGTACTCGTTTATGGAGACATGCAGGATTAGAGAAACTTTGAAAGCAGTCAAAGTGTTAGGTAGATACAGGCTTGTTTCTTTTCCTTTCTACATGCCTTGGTTTCTATGAACCTCTTTATTACTATCTTGTCTATTTGGGATTTGGTCTCAAAAATACTTCTGTTTGCTTTTACCTTCACATGGTATGATTTGAGAGTGACTTGAAGGCAGCTGAGTAATATCAAAGCATTCCAGCGCAGCAGGTGTGCCAGATTCCTCTTAGACTGCCTCACAGTGTAAAGAAGATAACAGGATTTGCTTTCCCCCCAGGGAAAGATATTTGATTATAAATGAACATGAATTCCTATTTCACGTAACAAATGGGGGAGTTTATTGCAGTGGAAATTTACTACAAACCTGTGAATTGTATGTAAACTCGCTGAGAAAATATGTCTTTATTAAAACCAAAATCTAAAAATTTTACTTTAGGAAAAAAGAAAAGTTAGGTTTTGCTGTTAGGTTTTGCTACAGAGTGTTGTTTTGGGTGTGGAGGTTTTTTTCTGACAAAATATTTTCAGCCAGTTCTGCTGCCTTCCATTTTTCTCATTATTAATAAAAATGAATATTTGCTTAACTTGAAAATACTGTTTTGAAGGAGTTGATCTTTTCTCACTGGCTATATAATGAACTTAGTCTCACAGATTAATGCAGTTAGATTGAGAACCTGATCTGAATACTCTTATGAATCATTTATTTTCTTCTCCTTCTCTTATACTTTATCTGTACATACAGTCCTGCTTCTTGATCCATAATGTCTGTTAAGATACAGCTTAATTGCAGAAATAGGTCTTCTCCATGGGTGGGCATGAGAATTAAAGGAAACCCATTGGCATCAGGCTGCAGCCTGATCAAATTCCATTTGTTTCTCAACAGCTTATAATTAGCTCATCTAAGTCCACTAGTGAAGGTGACAGCAGCATAATAGCTTTTCACTTTGCATCATTCTAAGATTTGGACTGTCATGGTAGAAGCTGGGATTCAAGTTTTAGATTTAAAATTTAATGTCTCTTGTTTAAGATGAATTCCTATATACCTTGCAATTCAGAGCATTCAGAGTGGCTTTTTGAGGTGCTGATTCTGATGGTGATTATTTTGTACTTTGCTGTCCTTTTTCCAGTGTGTTTTGTTTTGGGTTTTTGGTTTGTTTGGTTTTTTTTTTTGAAACTCAGTAAAGGTCTACATATTATGCTAGAGCACATCATGAGGTCTTCATCACATGTAAGGACTGAAGAAGCATGAGGCTCTGTCCTAGTTTTGTTGAAGTAGTGAGCCAGTGTGTTCCATTGTGTTCTTCAAGAGTGAACTCTTTGTTAAGGAACTATGACAGAAGTTAGTTAGCCACTGTAAGTTAAATAACTTAATCTGTTTATATTTACAGATGAGCCTCTTCACCCCTCCTCATCAAACAACGAGAGCATGCCCAGTTACTGCAAAAACGATGAAGGAGATATTTTTCTGACAGCTGAGTCCTGGAAGCCCAATGTCTGCACCAGCTGCATTTGCATGGATGGTGTGATTAGATGCTACTCTGAGTCTTGCCCACCGGTATCCTGTGAGAGACCTGTTTTGAGAAAGGGACAATGTTGTCCTTACTGTATTGGTGAGCAAATAAAAATAGTTAACTTGCTGTTCCCTTCTCAGGAGTAAGAAAGAAGTTTTATTACCAAATTGAAATATGTTTCCCTTGGTTTGGGGAGATGCAGTTTGTGCCTCCAGTTGAACTGGAGAGTGAAATATGCATAGGGAGCTTTGAGGATCATGATTTGTGGTTTTTTAGGTAGAAGTGCATGGAGATACACATGTAATTTGCCTACAAACTCAAGAGGACATCCTCCTGAAATTTTGGTAATACACCTTATTAGATGAAGACATTACACAAAAATTATTTTCATTTAAAGGAAGATTTGCCAGGTAACATAGGTTATGTCAAGATTTGTGTGATAATATGAGGAAAACATTAATTATGAGTGCAGAAGATAAGGTGTGAAGCATTATGAAATTCCACGGAACTAGAACTGTGGAACTAGAACTACAGTGGATGCTGTAGATAGTGGAAATTGCCAGACATTTTTAAAGTTGCAGAGTTTGATATTATTGATCACTTTTTTGTTGTATGTTGAATAGGAGTATTTATTTAAAGATTACTTTTTTTGTGAGTTCATAGTAAGTACAAAGGCTGTAGAATGGAAGCTGCTAATAGAGAAAAATTGGATAATGTACTTACTGAAATTGTCTTTGCAGCATTGTTGAAAAGCATACAGAGCTTACTCACCTTCATTTCCAAAAGTAGCAGGGGTAGATAGAGTAGACAAGAGTTCCATAAAAAGGAATATAGTAAAATTGACGGGCTTTAAATATTTAATTGAACATGTGAATCAACTTGCCCATCTATAAACAATATGATTCTCCTTTGGAAACGTCAGAAAGGTTGTGAAGTACTTTCAGACATGTACCATTGATAGAACCGTTGAAATCTTTAATTCATTGCAGATAAACCAGCTTTAATAATAGATGATACAGTTTTATATGATGTACAAGGAATTCCATGAAAGAATGCCTGGAAAAGTTACAAAGTATCCAATTTTCAGTTGCCTTTGGAATCATACTTAGATTCCTGATGACGACATTTCGAGGGGAAAGTTCTATGTTATCCTATCACTATTTCTTCTTGTGGTTTGCATAAAAAATGGAGAGAATTTAGAATTTCTTTGGCTTTTAGACTTTTTGCAGGCTTTTCTTCCAGTGATTGACTTTGAGCCATAAAAATAAATTTTAATTCAGAAAACATATTAACAATTAAAAAAATACAGAATGTATGCAGAGTTGGGCAATCAAACCAGTAGAGTCAGAACATAAGTCTTAGTATTGTAGTGGAGAATGCTTTGGGTGAGGAAGGGACTAGTGCCATGAACTACAAAAATGAAACCTCTAAAACTTGTTGCCTACACCTTGCATGTCAAGTTTGTAAATATATACACACAACATGTAGATACGGCTTTAATTAGTTGACTTTGAATCCTTTATAGTTGCATAATATTACAAATACTTAAATGTGTGAGCTATAAAAGCTTAATGGTTTTTTTAGTAGCAACTGATTAGCAATACAAAATATAGAAGCTAGATTTTAATAATGCTTAGATATGAAGATTTTCAATTATGATACATTTTAATAATCCAAGTTGTACTATGTTTTGTGGTCTAAATAACTGAAATTCATGGGAACTCTTTTTTTTTTTATGGTTTCTATGAACTATATACTCTTGCATGTAAGATTAGTCAGGTTGTGCACCTAATTTTGTCTTCCTGGTTCTTACTGGTCTATTCTTCATTTCTTGAGAACTGTGAAGTACATCTTTGTACAGATTCTTCCTACCTGTTTTCATGTAATAGTTGATAAAATGTTTAGAATCATAGAATCATTTAGGTCAGAAAATACCTTTAAGATTGAGTCCAACTGTTAACCCAGCACTGCCAAGTCTGCCGCTAGATCACATTCCCAAGTGCTGTGTCTATACATATTTTAAGTACTTCCAGGGGTCGTGACTCAATCACTTCCCTGAGCATAGGCAAACTCTGTGGAAACAGGCCTTCTTCATTGATTGGAATTTCAAAAATTATGTATGCTTTTAGCACTGTATTTTATTCTCCTTCTTTCAGGATCCAGTGTGTATAAATTCAAATTCAAAATTTTACAGGCCTTGTTGTTTGAATCCTCAAAGTCATCCTGTGTATTTAACATTCTTCTTTTTCTTACAAAGACAGATTCATTTGGAAAGATAATCTTCTAGTTTAGAGAGGATAAAGGGGTGCATCTATTTGATTAGAGACAAGATCACTCTTCTGCAGAAAACAGAGCAATGACTGTTTACCAGATGAGACTGATTTTCTAGTACAGCTAGAGGAAATTTGAAAGAAGCGGGTAGAGCTAGACACTATTCTGAACTGCGGTTTTGTATGTGAATTTCTTACTGCAAGACTCATTTCCACTATCCTTGAGCACCTGGTTGGTGTTGTGGTCTTCATCTTCATCCTTGTTTATACTTGCATAGGGATGGACACCAAAATAGGAGACACATACAGGATAATACTTTATTAGGACTTCAAAATTTCCTCTTGAGGTTTAATGGTACAACACTGCTATTGTGATTTTACCCTTGTTCATTCTTCTAAAAACTATTTACTGTATTAAATTGTGATGTGTTCCTCACAAACTTGGAAAACTCTGAGCAAGTTAAAGGACTTTTCCAGACAAACCAGCTGCTAAATTGAAGAAGGTATCCTAAGTGGGGCAAGGTAGCACTTTGGAAGCAAATCAGCCCTGAGTGCCCAGGCAGTACACAGCTTTATGTCTGCATAGGCAATGAGCAGGAGAGGAGTGTTTGGGCTGTGTGCCTCACCCTTGTCCCCAACCACATCTGCTTGCTGACTAACACAGGGCTCCATTCGCTCTATGTCAACATGCACATGGATAAAAACCTGATGAGCTTTCTGTACCTTTTCCTCCCACTTTTCCTTTCCCATATGCACCCAACGTTTACTTATAAAATCTTCTACTTGAGGAGGTTGGGACCCTTACTTATAGCCATGGAAGTCATGGGATACCCATACCAAGGATCTCTGGAGCCCTTTGTGCTTTTCAGATAATTCAATTAATATTATCTTCTTTTGCATTTGAATTTATTCTGTCCAGATCTGTTGCACCGGTCTGCTGACTGCTAACCTTGTTGTTCCAGATTACGTCAGTCTATTATGTTGTCACTAATTAAAACCTTTACTAATGGCCAAATTATTTAATAAGGGTTTTTTATTTATATTTGACAGATAATTCTAACTGACATATTTAAATATTTCATCTGTGTGAATGTTAAACCAGAATTTATCTGATGGTTTAAGAAGTTTGTGATTTCATTCTGTAACATCCTGCATATGTTTAATGTGCAAATTCATGTCATCAGCAGGTTTATTTCATCATAATAATTTTTGCCTCTAAGAAATAAAGGTAGTAAGAAGCTAAGATGAAAATGAGGTGCTGCTTGGCTTTTGGAGCTTCTGTTTTGTGGTTTTATTTTGATTATCTCTAAAGTGCTACAACAGCAAAAAACTTCCAAGGCTAAGCAATTCATTACTACCTTCGCAGTGAAATAGAAGTTATACTGAAGACCATCTAAAAGGCTTGCATAGGATGCAACATTAAAAAAATGGTGTGCTGAATGCTTAGACAGAAAGATCACACTGATTTCCCATTTATATAATACTAAGCGTGAAAAAATGTACTGAGTTTAGTTATTGCCCTTTTCCTGGGGTTGACGCAGTTGCAGGGAATGATCAGATTCTCTTCAAATGTGTTTTATCATAAGATATAGTCTAAGCACTTCTAGTTATTTCATCTGCAAGTTGCTTCATCCTTCTTGGCATCCTGCCTAATCTGGGTTTTTTTCCATGTTCTAGACCAACTTCATCTTTCTCGAACCTTACTAATTAGAAATTTAGGTGGTTAGGAGATTTTTTTCTTAGTTTAACAGGATTTACTAGGAAACAAGAAGAAAGAGGAGTAGTTGGCAGTCTCAAATAGTCAAACATAAAAGAATCAGTTCTTCTTCATTTTCACAGCATTTTTTATATCATCTTTTCATGTCCCAGTCATCTTTCCTCTAGCCTCTTGCATTAAGAACATGAGGAGAAGCAGCCCAGGGTAATTATATACTTCATAAAGAAGCAGAAATGACATCTTTTTAACAAAGATTTTCTGTTTCACTTCTGTGTTTAGGGAAAAAATCAGATTTTTGTGTAATTAGCCTTTACTGCATGATCACACCACTGTTTTCCTTCAACAGAAGATGCAGTTCCAAAGAAAGTTGTCTGCCACTTCAGTGGAAAAACATATGCAGATGAGGAACGCTGGGACATTGACAGCTGCACACACTGCTACTGCCTGCAGGGTCAGACTCTCTGCTCCACTGTCAGCTGCCCACCTCTCCCATGTGCTGAACCCATCAATGTGGAGGGAAGCTGCTGTCCCATGTGTCCAGGTAATGTGATGTGACAGCCCAGTTTACTGTGATGGTGGTTTACCAGGACCAATAATAAGGGGGTTTTAAATTGTTTTTTGAATGTCAGTCCATGTTTACAGTACCACAAAGACAACAGAGTTTTAGACTTCAGGAAAATTAATATTCTTAACAGATAGGCACATTGTGCAAAGACATAGTTTGAATTTCACTTATTCTGAGAACTGCGAACTCAAAAATTAGTTGCTTGCCCCTGGTTTGTCCTTTCACAAGGTTATGGAAATATGTTAATGAAGTGGGAAAATTAATATTCTTACATCTCTGCAGATTATATCACAGTGATGAATATTGATGTCTTTTCTGAGCATCTTCGTTACTTTTCAAATACCACATTGCTTTATTTATCACTTTAACTTGGCTTAAAAGCAATATGAAATTGTCTTGGCGATGGGCAGAAGGGTCATAAGAATTGCAACTGGGTTTTAATGTCAGTCCTGACATACTTCTGCAGAAGTTTGCTCATCTTAGTCAGCTGGTAACTACTTCTGACAGGACAACTGAGGAGATTCAGCAGTACCACCTCTTGCAATTCCCCCGCTTTGAGAATTGCAAATAAAGGAAGGCAAAGAACCCAGCAGTGACTGTTTACATATCAGCTGGGAAGGTGTAGCCTTCCCTTCTTCTTTTCTTTTTTTTTCTTTTTTTTTAATACCGCAGAGGAGCAAACCTGTAGCAAAGCATGTATTCTGAAATGGTATTTTCAAAAGCAAATTTGTCCACACCACTCCATCATCCCATTCACATTAGGATAATGATAATGGCAGCAGGCATGTGTCCTGTATACATTATGAAACAAGTTTTAAACAAAATCCCAGACTAATAATGATGAAAATCCTGAAACAAATAAAAGAATTCATAGGACAAAGCACTGCAGATGGCCGAGTGTATTTCCTGAATTAAGAGCAGCACTGAGAAGTTAAGCAGCCTGTGATTTGTGAAACACATTTATCTCATTTCACAGAGATGTATGTACCTGAACCCACTAACATTCCCATTGAGAAGACAAATCATCGAGGAGATGTTGAACTAGAAGTACCAAACTGGCCAACACCGAGTGAAAATGACATAATCCACATTCACAGAGGTGAGATCTGACACAAACTGGGATAACATAGGTCTGTTTATTCCCCATGTTTAGTGCATCTACTTGTTCTATTCAGGTAGCATCTATATAATGCTTTGAAAAGGTGGTTTTCTGAGAATATTCTTCAGTGCATAACTCTTACATGCATTTTGCTTTGAGTAAAGATGAGTCAGTCTATTAAATTACATTTATGGAATTTGGTCTCATTATCATTCCATCTTCTGCATGGAAGAAACATCTGTGTTGGTATGATGGAGTTCTGCAATGTCTTTTCTGATTCAAAAACTAGAAAGAAGACCACTGGAGTTGATAGACCCTAATTTGATTTTCTTCTGTTGATAAACAAACACGGAAAACATGTACCACAGCTTAACATGTATCGTAGGCAAATGTCAGAGCTTATAAAAAAAAACATCTCAGGTATAATGAGACAGAGCTAATAAAGTTGTCTAAGTATGTAAATATATCTTTTGTTTAAAACTGTGCTGCAATCATTATTCCAGGGAAGAGGAAACACTCTATGACACTGTCTTTAACATTTTCTAATTGAAGGACAACCTAAACTTGTATGTATTTTTTTAAAATCTGAGGATGACCTCATAGCATACTATTGTTTGGAGAAAGGATGCATGAAATTTAACTGCTTTACAAAGTTCTAAGCTTACACTTTTATAATTACAGCTTTTTCATTTCTCACAGGCATTAGTAGCTGGGTTGCAACTATCCTGGCTAGGGATTATAAACACACACTGCAAAGTGTGGAATTTTTTATATGTCATTGAAAATTACCATTCTTTGAAATTACATGCAAAACTTCTTACATTCTAAGTAGACTGCCAGTGGTCTGTTTTCACAGACTGAGTGGTGAAAGTATTGTAATATGGTCTCAACAGATGAGAGAGCAAACACATCATATTTGTCCTACCAGTTTTAAAAGTTAAGAAAAAAAAGAAATACTTCCATCAGCATGCAAACAGTCTGTTGTTTTTTTTTTTAATAAATGGGAATTTGGTTGTGATCAGATAAGATGATGCAAACATAATTGAGCTAAAAGGTTACTGTCAGACTTGTTCATTATATTGTGCTTTAGATTCCTGCTATTTCCTCTCTTTTTGATGGCCTTTTGCTTCCTAATATAGTCACTATACAAGGTACTAGCTTTTGGTTGTTCTAATTTATATCAATAAGGTGACATTTCAGGAGTGAAAGTCCAAATTCATATGAGTGGCAAGATGTATGACTGAGACTTTTGGAATTACATCCTTCATTATGGCCAAGGCCCATTTGTAATCTCTAGCAAATGCCTTCCAGATATGAACCATCTCCAGGGAGAGTACCGGAGTGGCAGTGGGCCACACCCCAGTGAGGATGCCTCGGTTGGCTCTGTTGCCTTGGTGACAATTCCAATCATGATAGCACTGTTACTGATCATCGTTCTCCTGCTCATCAATCAGAAAAAGCAGTGGATTCCTGTGTCCTGCTACAAAGCTCCAACAAAGGTGCTGTGTTTCTGTCTATTTCCAGACTTTCACATTTTTTGGAAACCAGGAACAAAACATTGTTGTAAATGTTCAGCAATAAAGAGGCTGTTGAAGTCTTGGTAACAAGCTGCTGCACACTTGGGGCAACAGGTTAAGCCCTTGCGTGATGCTAGATTAACAGAGACCAGTTTAACCAGCCCAGCTGGGATATGAGAATACCAGAGCTCCATTCAGAAGATAAAAAATGGTGATTCTAAGGAGAGTGTTGGTCTGTTACTGTGCCTGGCATAAGCGTTTACCAACTTGGGCAAAAGTCTAGACTCTTTCATTGCCAGCTTTATTTCATTTTGTGCTTGAACAAAAAGAACTTTTTTAATTATGTATGGAATACAAAAATTGTTTAACTTAGTATTTCCTTTCTCTTTTAACAGCCCTCTTGCCTAAACAATCAACTGGTGTATGTGGACTGCAAGAAAGGTACCATGGTCCAGGTGGACAGTTCTCAGAGGATGCTAAGAATTGCAGACCCGGATTCAAGATACAGTGGATTTTACAGCATGCAGAAACAGAACAACCTACAGGCAGATAATTTCTATCAAACAGTTTGAAGAATTGCACCCTTACCAAGGATTAAGAAAGAGAGAAGAGAGAGAGAGAGAGAGAGAGAGACAGTCTGCTATTAAAATAAAACTAGAATTGTGCACTTGCTTAGTGGATTGTATTGGATTTGTGACTACATGTACAGCTCTAAGACCTTACTGGGATGAGCTCTGACTCCTGCAATGTGCCAGAAAAAGCATTCCCACTTTTCCTTGAGATAACTGACCAAGTGTTTTCTTAGAACCAAAGTTTTAAAACTTGTTAAGATGTATTTGCTTGTAACATAGCTATAGAGGTTTTTTGGGAGGGGGAATCAGGGGCTAGGGATAGGCAATGAGTTAAAAGGAAGCTTCATAGAAGAAAAGCTGGTCATGCTTGGCTAGAGAAGAAAACAAACTGCTGAGCAGCAGGATAGTGGTTTTCCTTGTTGCTCTGAAATTGCATCTGTTGCACCCAAAGCCTAACCCCAGATGAAAAAAATATGAAAAGGTCTGATTTTTTTTTTCAGCTGTTGCTACAGTAATATACTCCTAGAACAGAATTTGTCACATCACAGGTGTGGTGTAGCTGCAAATATTTTTCTATATGATGAGAAGCTGCAGTAGTTAATGAAATAGCAAGGAAAAGATTATAGCAGAAAATAAGGGTGGGTTTATTAAGGATGTATAAAATTATACCTTGTGCTGCTTTTTGTTTTTATTTTTGTTTTCTTCAAAGCTGATTGGCTAGATTAGCCAGACTTCAGCAGAGTTAGCAAATGACTGAGGCCTAAGTAATTCCTGATATGAGCACTGGATCTTTTGACAGCAGTATTGAAGGAAGGAAGGAAAAGTCAAGAACACCATGCAGTTCCAGGGGCTTTTGTTTGTTTGTTTTGTCTGTTGTGGTTTTGTTTTGTTATTTTATATCAATCTCTGGTTGTTCATACAGGAGAAGGAAAAATATTTTTGTTGGACAAAGCTCTTGCTTACAAGAGAGTAAAAAAGAGACTGTTTTAAGGTTGTTGTTTTTTTTCCTGTTGATGTTCTTATTTACTGGTATGCAGATTTAGAAACTACTTCCATGCTAGGAAGCTGCTTAATTTTAATTGTATATTACTCAAGCACCTTTTTTGAAGCTCAGAAAAAAAGGAGATCATGCTTCTTTAAACTTTAGCATTATAGGAATATTTATGTAAATATAATTATGCTAAAAACAACAAAAAGTATTTGTATGTTTGTGTATATATATGTATATACACATGCATGTAGGTATACATATGTATATATACGTGCATGTGTATATACACTATACATATATATACTGTATATATAAAATACTATGTATACAGTATATATTTTTTCTATTTTTTTTTTTCTTGTTGAATGTATTTTTATCTGAGAGAGATTTTACCCAGAGCAGAAACAAATAACAGGCATTTCATATCAATCCTTAATCGCTTGTGAGTTTAGGAAAGACAAGAAAAGAGCATCTCATTCTACCTACAGTTTGATTTGATTTGATTTGAAAGTGTTTGTGTGTGTGTGTGTGTGTGTGTGTGTGTGTGCACTCTTGTGTTGGCGTGTGTACAGTACGTGCACGGTTATAGCAGTAAGCGTTGCTCTTGCTACTTGCTACATTTCAGGGTGTTTCTTATTTTTCTTTTCCTGCTTAGCCTTAAAAAGGCTTTTTAATGAATGCATTGGCTAGAGACACTGATGACAATATACATGCAGCACTAATCAACTCCATAAAATAACACCATGAGCTCCTGGATTTTGGGGGTTTTTTCTTTTTTTTTTTTTTTTTTCAAACAATTGTTTGAAACAACTACTGGAATATTGTCCACATTAAGCTGGAAGTTTGTTGTAGCTTGCCTCATTTATAACTCTGACTGTATAATACAATGTTACTTTCCAAACAGGTCTTGGCACTTTTATACTAATTACCCATTTGTGCATTGCCTTTTTTCTTTTACAAATGCTTCTCATAAGAGACACAGATACCCAGTATGCTTAATGTGAAAAGAAAATGTATTTTTTGTAAAGGAACTCTCAAGTATTGTTCTAAATACTTGGTCAGAGGTTGCTGAACTTTAAAACTGAAAAAAAAAAAAACCTAATTTATTATTATAATGACCTAATTTATTAATCTGAAGATTAACCATTTTTTTTTTGTTTTAGAATATCAAAAAGGTGTTCTAGCTGTTTGCATCAAAGAAAAAATAGGTGTATCATTAAGGGTCAACATTTTTTCTGCTTATATAACTTCAGTTTCCAACCACCAGTAAGAAAAAATGTGGTCTCCCCAGTGTTTTGTACTCAATCTGATGTTGAAACAGAGATGTTTCTGTCCAGTTACTGCAGAGATTTTGTCAAGACAAAACATCCATTCCTTGCATAAGAGTAAGCAGTCTTTATCCAGAAATTGTAAATGCTTGCTTTTGTTTTACAATCAAGGCCATATTCTGAAAATATTAGCAGGATATAGGACATGGTGTAAAATGGTTTTTTTTATTATTATTATTTTATTATTATTATTTTAAAGATATGATTTATCCTATGTGCTGTATCCATTACACTCTTTTACTTTGGTTCCTGTTGTGCTCTTGTAAGAGAAATGCAGATATAATTTTCTGAAAAATAGATGCATATGTGGCACTCGGAGTGCACTGCGGTTCAGCAGATTGCTTGTTTACTTTTTTAACTGTAAGGCGGTTTCTTGTAATTTGGCTCTTGGCAGCACAATAAAAAGTTTTAAACCTATTGATGTGTATTTTCTTAAATGTTCACGTTTATTACTTCCACACACTAGTCCTTGAAACATTAGTTTATAGATTGATATTATGGTGGGTAGGAATTCATTTTATTGTTATGCTGACCTGAGATTGGAACAGCTCAGAACACACTGTGGGTAAAGAACAGTTTGCAGTCACAGAAAGTTCTGCATGTTATACTAAAGAATTTTAGCATTGGAGAGCTTTGTGGAATTCCAAATACTTTCAGCATTCAGCAAAGATGAATCTCTCAAATGCAAAGTTAGGCCTCTGCCCTGCCATGAAGAGCATATGATCTAGTCATACCTGTCAGAAAGCTGTGCTTAATCATACGAGACTCTGATATGAGGTCCTATAAAAAGTGTGTGGAATCACAATTTGTACTTCATGGATTTCCCAAGCCACAGATCATTTATTTATCTATTAGCCTATAATGTTTTTTTCTTCTAGTAATTTGTAAGTTAATGGACTTGATATAAAGTTCTGGTATGTAACTTCCTGAGGCAAGGCAGTTTTCAGCTTGACTACATGCTGTGTGAACAACTTTTTTCTTTTCTTTCTTTGAAATCATCTTCCTAATGGTTTCATTTAATATCCCTGATACTGCATTCAAATCAGCAGTAGATCAGTATCTATATGCCACCCGTTAATTTAGAGACCTGTATCTTGACTCCATTTTTTCTTGAAAAGCCAAATATACAGTTCTTTGGGAGCAGTTCCATACCTTATGGCAAATCTTGCCATTCTTTGTACTTCTCATTCATGTACTTCCCTGTACATCCTTTTAAGATGAAGGGTAAGGATTAGGGTCCACATTGTTCAAACATGGCACTCCCTGGATTTAGCATCGTATTTACAATTTGGATTGCTACTCCCACTGCATTAATGTTCTTGCAGCACTAGCTGCAATAATCCAAAATGCCCAAGTACTAATAGTTACTGCGAAGCCCATAATTGACTTTGGCTAGGATAGATCAGTATTTATTTGCATCCCTTTACATTTACATATGCTGAATTTCCTCTCCTTTCCTAGTTAGCTGTTTCAGCATTTTTGCTCCTTCCCAGGAATAAAGCTATGGATGACATATGTGTTCTAGAAGAGCATCTTCAAACTCTGCAAACATTTTAATTTTTCATCAGAATGAAACGGAAAACATCACTGCATCCACATTTGAACACTCGAAGTAGTCCTGGTCTCCTTTGCCTTACTCACACTGAAAGGATATTTGGAATGCCTCTGCCCACCAGCGTTTGTCAGCTTGAAAAAGCTATAGCTGAGTAGGATAGAATGCAAATCCTTTAAATGACCTCAGCAGCATACAGATGCCTAACAAGGAAAGCATTTGCTCCTTGCTGTGTTTCTTGGAAGTTCAAAAAGAAACTTCAAAGAGGCTCAAATCAACTTAGGAAGTTAAGCAGAGAAAATTCCTGGTATGTACACTGGGATATCAAAAGTTTATAGTGGCTCAAAAAAAAAAAAAACAAAAAACCACTAAATAAAACCTAGATAAAAAAAGCCCATCATAAGCTATTGTCTGTAAGAGCACAATATAAAGCTGGCAAAGGATGGGCACGGGAGTGACAGTGCTGGTAAGAACCAAGTATCTCCAAAGCTTAGTTTCCCAACTATTGGGTGGCTGAACGAAGGCAAAAATAGTGAGAAAGCCACGCAGCAGGTGACAATGAAACTACTGCAAATACTCCTTCCATGGCAGGGGCGTTGGTAGTAGGTGGTCTTTTTAATGTCTCTTCCAACCCGAACTATTCTATGCTTCCCTCTTGCACCGATGAGCTGCCCCTGCTCGGAGCGGGGATGTGCGTCAGTACAGGCACCGATCTGCCGGTGCTGTGTGCGGCCGGGCCCCGCTGGCACAGCCCTGCCCTCGGGGCGAGGGCTGGCCCGGCTCCCCCCGGCACAGCCGGGGCCTGTGGGCCCGGCCCCGCCCGCCGAGCGCCGCCGCTCCGCGCCCGCCCCGAGCCGCGGGAGGCGCCGGGAGCGCGCACGGCCGGGAGCGCGCGCCCCGTCCCCGGCCGGTGGCGGCGTGGCGGAGATGGCGGCGCGGCGGCCTCGAGCGGGACCCGGGGGACTGGCAGGACTTTTCGGGATTTCCAGCCCTCCGCGGGGAGCGGCCCGAGAGCGCCCGCGACAAGGCGGCTGGGCGGCGGGGATCTCGGGGCGAAGCTGTCCTCTGCTTCGAGCCGCCGCAGGCCCGGGCTGGTGGGCGGCGGCGGCGAGAGCCGCGTTCCGCTGCGGCCTCTCACGGAGCAGAGCGCATTGCAGGACGACGAGTGAGTGCGGGCCGGGGGTGCGGAGGGGCGGTGGGGAGCGGAGGGCCGGCCCGGCCTGAGTGGACAGCGCGGCCTGACAGCCCTGTCCTAGAAAGCGCTGCCCCTGGGCCTTGGCGAGCCCCGGCAGGGCTTGTGGGCTGCAGGAATGGAGCCTTTCCCCGCCCCCGGGGCTGCAGCTGCGAGCGGCCGGGCCCGGGCAGGAGGGCACGTTCGGCCTCCGCAGCGCGGTTTTGACGTGGAGCCCTCTGGCTTTATTCCCGTGACGGCCAGGGAAGCGTGTGAGCATCCCTGAGCCTCTGACCCCGCCGGGCTAACGAGAAGTACCTGTCCTGAAGTTCAGAGTGACCGGGGGTAGTGTTTGTTTAGCGTCTCGGAAAGTGCCCACTGTCTCTGATAGTGCAGAAAGCAAATGAAGAACAAAATCTCAGCTGCAACCGTGATAATTGTGGGGGGTTTTCCCCTGAGCAATAAAGCTTTTCTGATTCATGCTGATTTCCCAGTTTTTAAACATTATTTTACAAATATTTATACTTCTACTATTTTATTATTTATACTTTTACTATTTTATAGTAAATTCAGTCAGCTTATCTTCATTAAAAATACTGCAGTTTTACTTTAAGGTAACAAAATTGTATGTCGTCCTCTAAGAGATGAAAAAAAAAAAAAACCTGTCAGCAAGAGACTAGATATCTATGGTATAAACAGTGAGGTAAGTTCAGAGAGCCGTGAGTCACGTTGGGCAGTGCTGGGGCTCTGTCTGCTCTTCTGTGTCTGGCTCGACCATTCCTCTGACCTCCTCTGAGCCTTAGCTAGGCAACCACTCCAAACATCCACCCACAGCAGAAAGCCAGGGCTTGCTGGGTGAAGAGGAAGCAGCCTGCTCGCAGAGCTGCTCTGTTGAAAGTCTGAACTGGTGTACCAGAGTGGGTCTGCGTGTGCAAGGCTCTAGTACTGCCACTGTAGAAACAGCTACGATTGACAGAGTGGTGGGCTAAACTCAGAAAGAGTACTTCTGGATAAAACTAAATTCTTTCAAAGTTTTAGTATAATTTGTGTATGTTTGTTGTTCTGTCATAAAGGGAAAGAAAAAAAAAACTGGTTCAGAATTTGCTACTCAGTCTAATTCCTTATGCTAATGTGCAGAAGGAAAACAGGAACAGCATTAGGAATGGAATTTATAGCTCAGTCCAAATTTTGTTAAAGGAAGGGCTCATCCACACCCGAAAGATTTTGAATATGGTTATATAATTATCATGGAAGCTGTGTCTTCATTTATTCTTCTATTTCACTTCTGTGCGTACATTGTTTAAAAAGGGAAATAAATTATGTTTATCAAAAAACATTTTCTCTTAGCTTCAAAATTAAAAATATTGTGAGTAACTTGCAGATGAATATTTAGGGAGGAAGATATAATTACTGATACAGGTATATGGTCATTAAGAATATGTTTATTGCTGATCGATTGCTGCTTATTTTAAAGTCTGTGTTTTTGTTCCTTTATTCTTCTCTCCAGGATTTGGAATGCTTTGACTGATAATTATGGTAACGTGATGCCAGTTGACTGGAAATCTTCCCACACCAGAGCTTTGCACTTGCCAACACTGAATCTTTCAGAAAAAGGGGTAAGTTCTGATCAGCAGAGGTACCCTCTTTGGATCTTTTTTACTCAGCAGCGAAATAAAATTGTTTGTATTTGTATAAAAAAAGTGTCGTTATTAAATGACTGAAAATATTTTTAATGCTTGCCATTATACATGAGAGGTTTTTAAAAATAAAAAATCTAACAATCATTGATGTATGTTTGCATCTCCTTGGGTTGAAATAATGCAGGGTTAGTTTTAGATGAATGTTCATTAGAGCCAGAGCATTATAGAAAGAAATGTAAAATGAGAAAGTGCTTCACATAAAATCTTTCTACTGTCTGATTCATGTTGGACACTGATGTGGGTAAGGGAGGAAAAAAGGCAGGGATACCCTGATTTAGTAAATCCAGTATGGACTTTTTTTAAGTTCATCTCAGTCTGCAGTCAGATGGCTTCTTTAACAGGAAAGGTGGCCCAGGAGACACTGAATTGCCAGAGTTTGTTTTGTTTTCCTTATTTAATGGTCTGGGGAGAGAACAGGGAATTAAGAGCTTCAGAGAGGTTTATAGAAAGGGTTGTCCTCCGATCTTCTTGTAAGTGGATTAAAACGTTTCAGGAAGAAAAGCCAGGAGGAATTCCCATCTCACAGGTCTTCTGAGGAAAAGAGTGGCTTATCTTTTAAACATAGTGAAGTTGAGTTACGTTGTAAAAATATCTGTCTGTGTAACTTGAGAATAGGGTAATGCTTGGACTTCAGCCATCATTAGATAATCCACAGATGCTTTTAATGTGACAGGAGTGAAGACTGTTCTGCTGAAGAGGATATTTTTGGGGTTCAGCAGGGGAAGGTGCCAATTTGGAATTCACTTTATTGATTTGAGACTGATGTTTATCCCTTGAATTTGACTTGTGTTTATTCTAATTTTTATTAGAGTGCTTGTTCAGATTTTCTAAGTGGTTTTAGAGTAATTACATCCTTACCTTTTAAGTAAAAATACAAGCTCCCCCTGCTGTGACCTGGTGTCACTGAAAAATGGACTGGAAGACTAATGCATTTCTCGATAAGGAACTAAGTATAATGTTTTTAAAAAAAGTTTCATATAGTTTTTGTAAGTTA